ATGGATTAATCTTGTGAAAACATTCTTTCCTTCTGATAACTGAAAGACCAGTAACTTTGTGAAGAAACTATTTTTTTTATTTCAGTATCCTTAATGAAGAATTATGTAACTTCCAATTTAGTTCATATTAATAATATTATTTATTCATGATTTCTTTTTCTTTTTGAAATGTATTTAATGAATAACTAATGCTATTTTCTCTCTATTGTCTGCCTTATTCCCTGGTTAAACAAGAAGGGAGCAGTCATAAGTAAAAAAAAAAAAAATGGGCAAACCACAGCTCAGCAAAGTAAACAAAATTTCTCCAAGAGAATCAATAGCGAAAACAGGAATAGAACTTAAATCTCATATCTCTCCCTTCAGTGAACATTATACAAAATGTCATCTCCTCCTCCAGAACAAAAACAAAACAATAAACTGCAAATAGACAATAACGTATCTCTCATTTATTGACTGATTTGTATTTGCCTGGTACTGTGGTAAATGCTTTAGGTACACAAGCTCATTTAATCCTCACAAGACACTTATGATGTGCATATTATTCTTTTACAGAAGAGGAAATGTGCTTTATAGCAATTTAAATGTCTGCAATTTAAATATATGTAAGTATTGCCTGGCAGTGTGGGATTTAATCTCAGGTCCTCTACCATCAAGTCCAACCTGTAAACTTCCTCACCATAAAGCCTTGTATTCCCAGTCGCCTTGAGGTGCTATATAAAAATCTAAATGAGGACCAAATAGTGAGGTGGTCCAGGCATACTGCTGCTTGATATCTTCTGTATAGAGACTAATTTTTCTCCATTTACTCTCTTGGTAAGTGACTCTGCCATTCTTCCAATTGCCTAAAAACAATAAAATGGATTTGCACCCTGACTTCTCCCTAGAATCAGCTCCTTTCCCCACATGCAATCATCAATTCTATTGATTAGAGTTCTTTAGAGCTTCCCATATCTTTACATGTTTCCCATGCTTGCTGCCTTGATAGGCCAGACCACCGTGGCTTCCTTTCTGTTCTATGGCAAAGGCCTGCCAATTAGTCTCCCTACACTTCATTTTACCCTTTCTAACCATACCTCACAAGTAGCCAGAATAACCGATCTATGTGAAACACATGCATGCTTTACAGCAAAGGACCTTTCTCCACTGTGTAAGATCTGTTTTACGTGAGCACAAAGCCTTTGATGACCAAGCTCCTATATTCCCTTCCCTACATTGGAAATTCTTACCATGCTGAGATGGCCCAAAACCACAGATATTGCTCTCATACCTGGATCTCTGCCCATACTCTTTCCTGTGCTTGGAATACTCGCTACTTCTCCCTTCCTCATCTGGTCTTCAAGTCTCAATTTAGGTATTTCTTCTTCCAAGTTGCCTTTACTCGTTAGCCAAGATTGGGCAAGCTGGCTGCTTGGAGCTATTTGTTATGATGGCACTTGCCACACCATACTGTAACTATGAGTTCTCTTGTCTGTCTCCCTCAGTAAGCTGGGAGCAACCTAAGGTAGATCCAGTTTGCATCTTCCTTCCTAACTGGTACCCATCACAGCACAGGGGAGACCGAGGTATCAAATGGTATTTCTGGAATGAAGGGAGAGAAAAAGGAAAGAAAAGGGAAAGAGAGAGAAAGGGAAAGAAACAGAGATGAAGGAAAGACTAGCAGAAAGAAAAAGAATAAGGAGAGGAAAAGCATAAGAGATGGAAGAGAGAGGGAAGGGAAAAGGCAAAAAGGAAGGAGGGAAGGGATAAAAGAAGATGAAGGGAAGGACAGGAAGAAGAAATTCGTAAGGAGACAAGGAGGACGGAAGAAAGGAAGGGTGTATGAAGTTACGGAGAAATGGAGAACGTGCGCACTAGGTTCTCAGTGGAAGTTTTGAGGGAAGAGGCTGTGATTCTATTGATTCTTCAGTGACCCTGGGATGGCAGACAGTCATAGCCAAGGAGTCCTGGGGTTAAAGAATGTGAAGACTGAGGAAAAAAAAAAAAAACTTTAAAACAATGCAGTTTGCTTTGTTTTGTAATTGAAGAAGCTGACCTGAAGGCTGAGCCAGGGCTTGCACGAAGACAGGTAAGATGTGAACATGGCCTGGATTAATCTTAAAGCCCAAGTTCTGTCCACTGTGTGGGTTTTCCCAGAGACACAGGAAAATCAGTGATGATGGGGGCTTAGAGCCACTGGTCCCTGGTTTGGGGTTGTGCACAGTGCCATTTGTGGGCCATTTCTTTTTTTTCCAAACATTTTTACTTCATGCAAAGGACTTCTCTCTTCAAGGGAGGCATGAGGAAGGCATTATAATATGTTACACAATTTTGAGTATTCTCCAGTAAGACAAAAGAATATTTGAGGTCTTTCTGTGTCTTGGCCCCGCTTATTCACCTTAATCCTCTAACAAGCCCTGACCTCTCATTCTCTACGTTTGCCATGTGTCCTCTGGTCTGGAAGTCCCCTGCTGCCATCTCTACCTTTTGAAATCCTTTGTGTCTTCTGGAGGCTTTGCTCAAATGCCTTTTCCTCCCTGAGGCCTGCTGCAACAAGGGATAATCATTCTATCTTCTTTGCTCCGATGGCATATTGTTCATTTCTTTCTTGAATATGAACTGGCCTGTGCCTTTCATTATAGTTTCATGGGTATCTTTTTTCCTCACTAAATGCCCACTCCTGGAAGGCAGGACTCACTCAAGCTTTATCTCTGCCTCCTCTGGTAGGATCAGTACAGTACTCTTTACATCCATACATTTCATATTCGTTATGTTGAATTGAACTGCAGAATCTATTTTCCAACTCTGATGCCTGCATCCCCCTATAAGATTCACAAAGCCAACGAAGCTAAAAACTCATAATACTGCTTTGTGTTTAAAAACTCCATAGGTTAAAAAAAATGCTCCATAGGTAAGTGTTTTAAAGCACTTTTGTTGCGTCAACTCTTGTCCAGTAGTGGTTTAAAGTGAGCTGTTAATATGGACCAAAGATGATACACCCACAAGGAAGGAAGCAAGGAGAAAGAAGAGGAGAGTTGAGACAGTGAGTATCAGAACCCCAAAATCTATGGATAATCATACACCTTTATATACTGGCCAACTGACAGGGAAATTATCATGAGAGATCCCTGTCCTTTTAAAAATATTAATAAATAAAGAGATTGTTGGAGACAAGAGATCTCATTTGTCCCAGGGATTTTGTTGTAATGTGGAGGCTTCTTGGGAAATGTTTGTGTAATACATTTCAAGTATGAGAAATAAGAAAGAAGCTAAGAAATACTAACTATTGTCCAAGGTTAGCGAAGATTTACTTGGGGTGAATAACCCGGGCTGCTCATTCCATTCATTTTAACTAGCAGTGTTCTTGCACAGAGCAGATGGCAAATTGGTTGGGTGCTGAAATCAAAGCAAGAAGGCGCTTTAAATGCCAGGACTCTCAATCTCTCTCAGCAAGGTCTGACCCTTCCTAAACTTCCATTTCTTATCGAGTGAACTTAGTAATGTTGTCAGCTTAGGCAGAAAGATTTTCAAATTGTTTTAGAAAATATTTTAATAGTGCTTTTAGATAAGATTTTACATATTCGTAAAAAAAAATATTTCTACTTTGCTGGAGCCCAACACATTTGGAAATTAATCTCCTACTACTGGCAATCCCGATTCTGGTGAGCTAAGGGCAAAGGACATTTTTATCTGTGCTTTTCTCTGAGCGCTGTTCAAAGGGCGTTCTTTTTTCATTCACCATTTATAGGCACAGCCAGATAAAATACATCACTGGACTCGGATATAGCAGATATCCTTTGCAGTATTTCAATTCTGTCACAATTTTGAGAAACATAATTTTCTGGTGCTAAAGAAGTATTTATAACTAACTCTGTTGGTTTTGAAATGCCATGTAGAAGTCGGAGGAAAATTAAAGGCCAAAATAATAATAATAATAATAATAATAAAAGCAAAAATAATACACAGCAAAATAGAAAGGTTATTACTTTTCATTTCTGCCTCCAACTTGAGAGTCTAATAAATAAAATCAGGAGAAGAATACATAAACTAGCACTTGGGTAGCTTTCCTAAACGTCATAAAGGTGACAGTAGAGCATTTGTAAGAACAAAGTGTTTCCCTCAGGATGTACATGAGAGAGCCAGTTGGGTTGCTATCGCCTTTTAGTTCCTGATACATCGTCTCTTTTTCTTACCTACACTTTCTGGAGCCTTATTAATGAATAGGAGCTGATTTTGAAGATCGGATTTTTTTACTCAGTTCTACCTCTCTCAGATTCTTAGAGCCACAGGAAATAACTGTAAACTTCAAAACTGCTTCTTCTGAGCTTCTGCAGTAAGAAAAATAAAATGCTTCAAATGTGAACCACTCACTCATTTCTTACATAACAGCTGACTTCCAAGAACAACTTATATGTGAGAGGGTTTTGTAAATCCACATCTGCCCCCTGTACCTCAGGACACACTGCGAAGACTTGTCCTCCCTCAGAGTACTTGTTCCTACTCAGAGACTCCTTAAAAATAATAGTTTTCTTTTGCACAGTAATTGGGTAAGTTTGATATACCTTGAGTTTGATTACTCAGTTTCTTAAATTATCACTTAAGAGAGGGCTCTTGTGTTACTCATAATGCTCTCCTCAAGATTAGAAAGTGTTTGGTTGCCAGAAAGGATGTCACTGGAATGTTATTCAATTTAGTATACGCAGCAGTGGAAGAGATGAATTTCTGGAGGACTCAGTGGCAGGGGTTATGTAATTACCCTTGTGTCAACTTATCCTCATGAAAATAGAGGGATTATTCAGTTACCTCATCTATAAAATGGGATAACACCACCACCTACCTCATAGATCAGCTGTGATGATGGAATGAGCTAAGAAGGTAAGACTCAGTAAGTAGTAAGTAAGGAAAAGTCCATCCATGTTGGCTATTATTTCTTTCATTAATCCTGATAAAATTTCCTGAGACAGTGGGACTGAGAGAAACTTTGCACAGCCTTGGGTCAGAGAAAGAAGGCGTTGACTTCTTACCTCCAGGGAATCGTCAGCATTCACCATCCAACAGTCTGTCCAGGTGGCCACGACCAAGAACCCAGTAGAGAAAAAGGCAAAGAAGCAGGCGGTGTACTGGAGAAGGCCTCTCATGTTGGTGAGCAGCCTGTCTGGAAGGGACACATGGGCAGCTGTCAGCCCTGGGCCCCCTCAGGTAGCTGGAACGCTGTCCGTCTTCTGAGCTGCTGGTACCTGGGGATGTGAAAACACCAGGCTTTGACTTTTCCTCACACCCCACTGCAGACGTCTTAAGTTGTAGTGAGAGTAATGCGAACAGGCTGTAACCCTCGGAGGGGTCCTGGAGGTCATTATCCAAAGCACCCAGCCTCCAATCAGAAGCCAGGGCAGAGAAAGGGCTGAGTGTGCTCTGGGTGGGGGAGAAAAGGAGCCCTGGTAACATGTTCTGCCCAGAGTGTGGGCTGATGGGAGATGATGGTCACCTGGGGCACGTGGCAATGCCAAGATGGGGAGAAGGAAGAAGGGTCACACCCCATGCTGACGCCTGTAAACTGATCTTTCTCAAGCCCTCCAGGGAAAGTGAGCTATTCTCCTCCCTCCTCGGTAAGGAGGCTACACGGTTGACTGCGTGCTATTTTATTATGAGGACCATTTTAATATGCGTTGACTACCTTAGACAGACAGGCCACTGGTGCAACTATGCTAAATAAGTGGTAGCTCCAGGGAGTTTGCATTCCACAGTGCTGGACAGGACGGCCCCTTGAAGGGGTTCCAGTACCTGGCCCCAGGTAGAGCCCAGCTCCTAACCTTTGGGCACTGTAGAGTGGGAAGCCACCCGCATTCACATCCACTCAGCTCTGCGTGGAGAGCCTGGCTCTGAAGCTGAGGGGCTGAGGGCACCTGCGCTTTGCTCTCTGTAAAACTGGAGGTACTAATGCCATCTTCATGAGCTGTTTGTGAGAATTGACATTGTGTCTGTATAATATTTAGAAGAGTAGTTGACAAAAGTAGCTGAATGGTAAACATTAGCATGACCAAGAATTCTCTATAGGATTATTTTTCTCCCATGGACCACTGAATGAGTATATGTCAAAAAAAATCCACCTGCTTATATTAGAAAAAATGATTTTTTAAAAAGATTTTATCTACTTATTCATGAGAGACACACAGGGTGAGGCAGAGACATAAGCAGAAGGAGAAGCAGGCTCCATGCAGGGAGCCCCATGCAGGACTCGATCCCGGGACCCCAGGATCATGACCTGAGCTGAAGGCAGATGCTCAACCACTGAGCCATCCAGGCGTCCCTAGGAGAAAGGATTTAAAAAAAAAAAAGTTTTTGATACAGCAGCAGCAACTGGAGTTTTACCTATATCTGAGTGCATAGTCTTACTGAGTATGAATACTTGCAAAAGCATACAGGTGCCCATTTTATCATCACCAGACTCCTCTAAACTAACACCCAAAATTGAAGTGATAATAATGAAAACTATTTTATATGGTTCTTAATCCAAGAGAGAGAGATAGAAAAAGAAGGAGTTGGTGAGGAACAGAAGAAGAATTACAAATAGGTCATTACTTTGGGAAAAATCAGCAGAGAGTTATTTTAGGAATAGCTCAAGGAAGGATTACTTTCTTTTCCCAACTTAAAAATAATTGGGTTATACTCTTTCAGGTAAAAGGCTAAAATCAGTGTTGATACAATGTCCTTTGAGGATATATTAAAATAATAAGCTTTTATGACTAAAGTTTGTATTTTCTCATCTTAATTCACTTGTATTCAAATATATTAAGTGTAAATTTAAAAGTGGCCTGAAACGTAAAGATATAAAACCATATGTGGAATATAAACCTAGTTGTCACCATAAACAAGGTTAGGATATATACGTTTTATATATATATATATATATATATATATATATATATATACACATACACACACATATATTGTTTTGTATATATATATTATATAATTTAAATATATATTTGTTTTATATATATTTGTTAAGGTAGTTATCATTAATTTGTAAGGTGCATTAGAGATGCTTTCAATTTTACTTATTTTATTGACTTATTTTACTTGACAATTGGGAAAAATAATGTTTGTTTTTTAAAGTGCTCATTGAAAGAATGGAATTATCTATGGTGAAAGGCAGCCACAATGCACACATGCTACTTTGGTGAGTCACAAATCTTTCCCTGTGCCCTAAAATCTAAAATGTTCACGCTCTATTGATCTGGGAGAGGAAACCCATTCCAAAAGCACACAACCCATTACAGGAAAAGTCCCGGACTTAGCAGTGAGCTTTCCACCCAGGGACCTTTCCCAGTGACTATTCCTGCTAAGAGCACACCCAGGGCAATGGTTCTCAAACTTCAGTGCACACTGGAATCTCTAAAGCCATTTCTTATAAGCGCAGAAGTAGGAGCTCCATCCTCAAAGATTTGAGTTCAAGAAACTGGGCATGGGGACCAGGTGTTAACATGTTATAAATGTCTTGTATAAAATTCTGATTCTGAAACACATGACCATGCTTTGAGAGACTCAGGAGGACAGAAGAAAAATCAGCATTAAAACCAGAATATGATTTTTCGGAGTCAAATACTATAGATCTCAAAGAGAGATATCAGGGATCCCTGGGTGGTGCAGCGGTTTGGCGCCTGCCTTTGGCCCAGGGCGCGATCCTGGAGACCCGGGATCGAATCCCACGTCGGGCTACCGGTGCATGGGGCCTGCTTCTCCCTCTGACTGTGGCTCTGCCTCTCTGTCTCTCTCTGTGTGACTATCATGAATAATTAAATAAAATCTTAAAAAAAAAAAAAAAACAAAGAGAGATATCAGAATTGTATTTTTGGTGCTTTCACTTCCCTAATAAGTACCAATAGCAGGTCCCAGATCCCAGTAACAGGATTTTTTTTTAAGATTTTATTTATTGATTTGAGAGGGAGAGAGACAGAGAGACAGAGAGAGAGAGAGAGAGAGAGAGGGCACGAGCAGGGGCAGAAGCAGAGGGAGAAGCAGACTACCTGCTGAGCAGGGAGCTCATAGGGCTCAATCCCAGGACCCTGGAATCATGACCTGAGCTGAAGGCAGATGCTTAACTGACTGAGCCACCCAGGCGGCCCCAGCTGTCAGGACTTCCTGGAGAGGATGAAGTGAGGGAGAAAACCCTGAGCACACATATGATTTTACATGCAAACACAAACTTGCACGCATGTACCTTGGGAAATCAGAGACTCTTCCCCAAGAAAGGTATAGACAGTAACTTAATTTATTTAATTCCCCAAGTTATACTGGACATTGCATATGGTTGAAGATAGAGGTACTATTCCTGCAACTATAAGAGCATTCCAGAATCAAAAGTTTAACACCTTTAGAGAATAACCTAGGACAATCAGGTTTAAATATATTTTCTGGGGCTGAGGCCATAATATGAATGGGGATCTAAGAAAAGAAGAGCCATATTGATTAACAGAGTTGGAAGGACTTCATGGTGGAATGTGTGTGCATTGCTAAGGAGGGTTTAAATGTGCAGGCAGCTGCCAGGATGGAGGGTGTAGAAGCAGCGCGAATCACTCACAGGCCTGTACAGGCAAATCCCTTTTGCTCTGGACTGCAATAATTAGCTTCATCAACTCAATCCCAGTTCAGTTCCGCTCCACACAGCACACATTCATGGACAGCCTCCTCTGACTTCAGTTCTGTGCTCGGTTCTGGGGACACAGCACAGAAGGAAGATGGAAGACCTAGTCCCCAACTTTGAGAAGCTGCAGGGAGTGGCCCAGAGCCAGGCTCATGTTAGGAAGGGAACAAGTCCATCAGGTAACTCTGAATTCAGCCTTAAGTTACAGTTCCACTTCCAAAATCAGGGCCCAGCATACGAGCTAGAAACACACAGGGCTTCCCAATGTAGTATAAGCACAAAGGACGATTATGGCCACGCATGTGGCACAGCAGTGTTGACAAAATATTTTCAAACGCATTATCTCATCTGAGCTTCCTGAAGACAGCTTTGTTTTGTTCACCAGTGCATCCCGAGTGATAAAGATCCTGTCTGGCAGCCAGTAGGTCCTAACAAATCTAAGCTGAATTTAATTGACTCCTCCCAGCTCCCACATTTTACAGAAGAGGAAGTAAGGTTGGACTTGCTCTTTGTGAACCATCCAGGGTCCCCCAGGATCAGTGCTGGGCTGGCCGAGGCGATGCTATGATTTTTGCAACTCCGGAGCTCTCAGTTTTGCAGGAGCCCTAAGGTATTTTGGTGCATTCATCCATAGTCTGGGTCCCCATGGGCCCACACTTCTGCTGGTTGAAGCTTTAGAGCCACCTGGTGAGGTGAGGGCCTCCCCTGCCTTGCAGCTGGGCAGCCCGTCTGTGAAAGGAGCTCATAGTACCAAGGGAGAGACTGTATTTGTCCCGTTGGCCTGTAGGTGGAAGCAGCTCTGCGTTCGGTTGAGAAAGCCAGCAACGTGTTTTCCGGTTAACTCTGTTGTTCCTGTTAGTGTCACGAACTGTTCCTTCTAGCTATGCTCTTTATAATGACACAAATCCTTAGACGGAATAGTTGATTTATACCACAGCTTATGAATGATTTCCTCATTCCTTTTTAATTGCCCAGTACCCACTGGAAAAACCTAGACAATAAAACAAGTTGTTGCTGCCAAAGGCCTTGCCAACTACAAGGAATAGCAAAAGACGTCGGTGGTTAAAAGCTTGGACCTCAGAGTCAGGCAAACCCGAGTTCAGGCTAAGCTACTTAACACATGTGAGTTCCTGGGCAAGCTACTTAATTGCTTGCTCAATAAAATGAGAATTATGAATTCTGCCTAAGATGGCTGTGAGGAATAAATAACATTTTTCAAGGTCTTAATACAGTGCCTGGGAAGTAAGAAACAATCAATGAATTAAGATTTCAGAGTAGATGAGACGAATGCCCTTTCCCTAGGCTTAGAGTGAGGTGTGGGAACGCTCACCCTTCTCCGTGGTGGCAGGGAAGTGGGACTTAATACCTACCGCTGGCTGTCTCCAAAAATATCTCCTAATAATTTATCTCCCTTCTTGCCATTCACTGGGTATGGTGCTGGGAGTTGGGGTGGGGTGAGGAGGCAGGGCTGAGATAGCTGGGCCACTACGAGTTGTGATACAGGTTCTAAGGCACCTCTTTTGCAACTTCTGCCTGGGGTCTCCCTTCTCATCGTGGGTTGTGGTCCTTATTGTCTAGTGACCTCAGCTGAAA